CCCCCCCTTTTCCCTTTATTGTTTTGAAAAACAAGAGAGGCATTCCAATTTCCTTCTTTCTCTTGAGGCGAGAGGACACGGGTCTCACTTGCACAAGAAGATGCAGGCTAAAGCGGAGCGTGGCACTGACAGCGTGCCTACAGACCGTAACAGTTGCACTGCTGACTGGAGACCAAGCTGTGTGGCAGCTACCACGTCTGGGCCTCTGCACATGCAGAGAAGAGATCATTCTCTTGTTCTGGCAGCTGCAAGGCAGTTTCCTCCTGTAGTTTTTGTCTTGTTTTGAAACTGAGCTGTCTGATGCCCTGGAAAAACCTGTTCCCATTCTGCTGCTTCTTTCAATGGTGCCCAGTTTCTGTTCTTTAAACGTCTAATGAGAAGGTTTTTGTGTCGTTCTTGAAAAGTGTATAGAAGTTTCATAAGGTTGATCTGACAGGCTTGCTCTGCATAATGTAGAAGATATGTATTTTTCCTTGCCAAAAAGTGTATGATTTTGTTTCCCTTTCAGTCAGTGAAGTGTGTATTATCTTTGCTGCCCTCTTTTTGTGGCACAGTGGGTTTTATTTCCATTTTGTAGTATTTTTACCTTCTTCATCGTATGTTTCATTCATTGTTTACATAATATTATACCCCATCTGAAGTGTTTTTTGTTTGTTGCAGGTTTTTTTTCTAGTGGCGGTGCTTTTCTCTACTGTAATGGGGAAAATTTGTTAGGCTTTTTCTAGAAAATACATAATTTCTTTGCTTTTCACTGATTTTTCTGTCATTTACTTCTTAGCCATGGGAACTGGAAGTGTTCGTAGTCTTTTTTTGTATAGGACAATGCAGGTTTTAATGAGTGGGTGTTGGATGTGCTTTTCCATAAGTTATAATGGAATATAAAGGACTTTTTCAGTGCTGGTGTAGTTCAGATTAGTGTAAAAGTTTGCCTTTTGATAGTTCTTTTTGCTCCGTACCACTTCATTACACACAGAAAAAGAATATGACAAATTAAATTAAAGATCAGACAGCCTTGTTAACGATATTTCTATGTGAAATTTGGGGAACATGTCACCATTCAAATTCTGAAAATATATTCCAAACTAAGCTAGATGAAAACTAGTATTTGTGAGCCAAGGGCAGTAAAGTCACTTTAATGGAAAACAGTAATTTGGTGACTTCTGCAGTGCGGGAGCCAGATGTAATAGCTTGTAAGCCAGTTTAGCCTGCTCTGCTAATTAACTCAAATGCTGTGAATTTATGATAACAGTACAATTTTCTTCTAAATATATTTCAAAAAATAAAATATAGCTGTTTTTAAAAGATAACAGTTTGTTAAGGGATGGGCTTTTTGTGGTGTTTTCTCCACAAGCAATTGGGGTTGCTGCAAAAAAAGTTAAATGAGCTGTTTCATTTTTACTTTCTGATTTTTGTTTCTTTTAATGGTCGTTATGCCATCCCTTGCTCTGAAGAGAGAAAAACTTCCAAGTTGAAGTTTCTTAGTACAACAAACTGCAGCTCTGCCAATGAGACTACTTCACTTTGTAATGTGTTCTTTAATTAACTTGAGTTTAAATAAAATGGGATTTCAGAAAGTTTACTTTTCAGCTGCATTATTGAGACACAGCTTCAAAATTGTGCTTTAACCATACTATCACAAGGCATACACTTAAAAAGTATGGTTACGTCTACTATGCCAAATCAGACCTAGTTATTTTGACTTTTCAATTAGCAAAATGTTTTCAATTCTCAAATTGCTTTGAGGATTTTTTTTCTCCAAATTTTTGTGAATTTTTCCCCATTACTGGTCTGAATGTGATGATTAAGATCATTTAAGGTTTCACCTTAAATCCAAGTCCCTTGGTTGGTAAAGGAACTTATTAATAGCATGCTGGAAAGACCATTTTCTATGCTATTAAAATTTTGACTTGCAAAATAGTGTGGGTTTTATATTGTTTCACTTCTGTGAAGTCCTTTAAAAGTTAGTGCTATCATTGTGCATGTTTTATGTGCACACGCCTATACAGTATATGAGAGCTTAAAGCTGTATAAACATGTCTTTGGGGTTAATTCTAGTTAATAGTAAATTCCCAAATGACTTTTATCTGATCACTACAGCTGTGTTACTTTATGATATGTCTTTTCTGCAGACACCAAAGATGCTAACAAGAAAGATTAAGCTTTGGGACATTAATGCCCATATAACCTGTCGTCTGTGCAATGGATACCTGATTGATGCTACTACTGTAACAGAATGCTTACATACTTGTAAGTAGAAGTATAATTAAGTTAAAGAAATTGGTTTTGTTTTTTTTTTTTTAACTCGATGTGCAACATGTTTTAGTGGTTTTTAGTTGAAATTAAAAAAAGTTATTGTGCATCAGCCAAAATAATGCATACTTCACTAGACACTGCTTTTTTTAACAGATGATTCACTTTTTTAGCAAAACAAATGAAGACAGCATTAAAGCTGTACTGCACGAACTTGAAGCCATATACAACTGATGTTAACGTATGCATTAAAGAATGCAGTCTGTCTTCCTGCTTAAAGGAATGTGGAATGCCTAGTTCTCTCTTCTGTGATAGCTGACATTAGCATATGTTCTCCACCTGGAACCTTCCAAATGTCTCTTGCTCTCCTGTTCCTGTGCAGAAAGCAGTGATAGTTTATCAATAAAGCATAAGTGTATTTCTTGTACCCTAGAAATAAGCTTTTGTTCCAAAATGTTGTGATGTGGTACTTGTTTGTCATTGTGTTACTTTGTGAATTTCTAGTTTCACCTCAATGAAGTATATCCTAGTACCTTGCAAAGCCTTAGGCTTCAAGAAAATTGAAGGTGTAGGTCTGTCCCAGCATCTTTGTTGTTGACGTTGTGGGATATAGGAGTGCTAGGGTTTGCAGTATTCTGATGGAAACTTTGGATGTTAGCACAGTTCCAACTAAAGATCCAGAAAGATTCCTTCTGAGCAGAAGCGTCCTTATAGTCTTAAGTGGTAACTCCAAAACTATTCTCTGTCTTGAATCTGTTCTGATCCTCAGTTTCCTTTGCCAAGGTAGGTATCAGCTGAGGAATTAACCTTCAGTCCAGAAGGCCTGCCGTAGAGACTTTAAATATCCTCTGTAGCAGCCACATTGATGGCTTTACATGACAGGGTTTTACCAAAATTATATTTTCTAGCTGTGCCTTCAGAATCCTTGTAATTTACCAATGCATCCTTGTAAACCAGGAGCTTCCATTTCTCCAGTTTTATCTGTTCAGAGCTTAGAATATAATTTGTTTTGTTTATATGCACCTTCCTTAATCTATTAAATAGTAGTTGCCATGCACCTTCAAACTTCCCATGTTTTAAAATGCTTCTGTCACAGTAGTTTCCTCTTATTCTGATAAAGCTAGTATGTTGTTTGAATAGCTTAATGACTCATAGTCCTAAACTTTCTTGGAAGGGAATTATTTTGTGGTAGTGGCTTCACGTCCACAAAATGAGTGTTTCAGTGGACTTACTCTTCACCTAAAATGTCTTACAAAGGGGAAATACAATGCTCATGATTAGTCAAGAAATAATGTTTTCCATTGTGTTTAATTTAGAACTTCTGTTCATCAGCTTTAATGAGTTTGTTGTTCTTGTCACACTTCTGTGTCATTTCAGTTATTCTCATGTCCCTTCTGCATGTTTCATGTTTTAATTTCCACAGTGATCCTTTTGGAGTGTAGAGATATTTAAGCTAGACTTCTACTTAGATTTGCCGCAAATTCTTTACTGCTGCTATTAACAAGATTATATGCAAAATCATTATTATAACAAGTTAATATGGCTGACATAGAGCTATAGGGTCATTTTTCATTGTTCTTTAAAAAAAAAAAAAAGGCAAAAAAACCCCCACAAAAACCCATCAGCTGACATCTACACAATTCCTTGCATTTGTTTATGGAGGAAATGTTTAGATTAATCCGCAGTGCTACAGTGCTTGCTTCAAAAGCCAGGCAATGCTCCTTGTCAGCTTTTGCTCCCCCCTCACCCCCCTTGTGGACTGTCCCTCTCTTATTTTGGCTGTTTATGTTTTCAGAATTCTACTTCAGTGTGTGTGCTGTAGAATTACAGTTTTCTGAGAAGAGACACACAGCCCTGTCTTTTTTAAAAAACTTTATACATGTTGGCATCATTTGTATTGTGTATGTTAACGCTAATAATACATGTTCTGGGGAAAGCATCCTTGCAAAATCTATCATGAAAGTGCCCTGTCTGTTGAGATAGTGAATTCTCTGCTGAATTTTACCACCTTGAAATTTTGTTTCTGTTTCTACTCAGAACTGCACAGTTTTCTTATGTTTTTCATTTTTCTCTAACTTCCTGTCCTTCAGACATTCAGAGACTCTTCACTTCAGTAGTAAATGTAGTTCTTGAGTCCTTTGGTGAGAGTCATTTGGAGGACCATGGCCAGTCCTTTGGAGAGGCAGGACCAGCTTCCTTTGTAAGACACAATTCAAGGGAAAACAAGCTTTTTTTTTGCTGTCTTTTGTACTTCTTTCTCTATCTTTAGTTTGTTCATGACAGGCAGGCCTATAAGTCAGTAGATAAAAACTTCATAAATAGTAACTACATGTTAAGTCTTTTCAAGTTTACGTATGTTTCTTGATTAGAATTCTAGGTTAGCAGATATATACACGTCTTGTTAAAATTTTACATTTGTAATTTGAGTTTCATTAGTATTTACATGTGAAAGTTGTCCTTGTATGTTATGAAAGGGAGAGCGTCATATGTTATGAAAGGTGTTGTTTTGTGGGTTCATGAGGATCGTGAAAGACCAACTGTATTTCTTAAACTAGATATAGAAATGAAAAAAGTCAAGACGAATGAAACAAAAAAAAAAGTAAGTGAGGATTAACCTTGCCTGTTCCTTTTCAAATGAAAGTTCTTTGCTCTGTTTAAGTGTACTGTAAAAGTAACCAGAAAATATACAGCTCAGTTCAGGTCTACAATCACTGCCCAAGTATCTGGGTGAACAGAGTTTGGAGACTTTGGAAATCCCAGGTAGTGGAAAAACCCTAGTAATACTATTGTTTTAGACCCTAGAATGATTCTCATATTGGCTGTCCCATAATCCTAGGACCAGTTTCAGAGGAGTTTATTAATCACAACTTGACCCCATAAAAAAAGAACTGATCTAGAAGACTGCAGCACCCTCCGTAAGCTATCTAGTTGCATTTATTTCGGTGCTGTGCATAGACTAATAAACGTGCCACAACGTGTGCTGACTTGTGATGAGTTCAGTGTACGAGGAGTTAGTGTATACCTAGTCCAAACTGGAAGATATACTGAAATGGAATGTTGTTTTAGAAGGTATCATAGAATGGTTTAGGTTGGAAGGAACCTTTAAAGGTGACCTAGTCCAACCCTTCTGCAGGGACATCTTCAATTAGATCAGGTTGGTCAGAGCCCTGTGCAACCTGAACTGGAATGTTTTCAGGGATATGGCATCTACCACCTCTCTGGGCAACCTATTCCGGTGTTTCACCACCTGCATCGTAAGAAATTACCTCCTTATATCTAGATGGAATCTCTCTTCTTTTAGTTTAAAACCATTACCCCTTGTCCTATCGTAACAGGCCCTACTAAAAAGTCTGTCCCCATCTTTCTCATAAGCCCTCTTTAAATATTGAAAGGCCACCATAAGGTGCCCCCAGAGCCTTCTCTTCTCCAGGCTGAACAACCCTAACTCTCTAAGCATGTCCTCATAGGAGAGGTGCTCCAGCCCTCGGATCATTTTTGTGGCCCTCCTCTGGACCTTCTCCAACAGGTCCATGTCTTTCTTGTACCGAGGACTCCAGAGTTAGATGCAGTACTCCAGGTGGGGTCTCATGAGAGTGGAGTAGAGGAGCAGAATCACCTCCCTCAACCTGCTGGCCATGCTTTTTGTGAAGCCCAGATTACGGCTTATTTTCTGGGCTGTGAGCACACATTGCTGGCTCATGTCCAGCTTCTCATCCACCAGTACCCTCAAGTCCTTCTCCTCAGGGCTGCTCTTAATCCCTTTATCCCCCAGCCTGTATGAGTACCGAGGGTTGCCCCAAACCATGTGCAGGACCTTGCACTTGGCCTTGTTGAACCTCATGAGGTTCACATGGGCCTGCTTCTCAAGCTTGTCCAGGTCTCTCTGAAAGGCAGCTTGTCCCTCGGGCATGTCAGCCGCACCACTCAGCTTGGTGTCACCTGCAGACTTGCTAAGGCTGCACTCGATCCCACTGTCTATGTGATTGATGAAGGTATTAAACTGTACTGGTCCCAACATGGACCCCTGAGGGACACCAGTCATCACTGGTCTCCATCTGGACATTGAACTGTTGACCACTACTCTCTGTCTGCGACCATCCAGCTAATTCTTTATCCACCAAATAGTCCACCCATCAAATCCATACCTCTCCAATTTAGAGAGAAGGATTTTGTGGGGGAACCTGTCAAAGGCCTTACAGAAGTCCAGATAGATGACATCCATAGCTCTTCCCTTGTCCACTGATGCAGTCACTCCATTATAGAAGGCCTCTAGGTTGGTGAGGCAAGACTTGCCCTTGGTGAATCCATACCAGCTGTTTTGAACGACCTTCCTGTCCTCTGTGTGCCTTAGCAATAGCTTCTAGGAGATTCTGTGATCTTCCCAGGCACAGAGGTGAGGCTGACAGGTCAGTAGTTCCCAGGGTCCTCCTTTCTACCCTTCTAAAAAATGGATGTGATGTTTCCCTTCTTCCAGTCACAGAGGACTTCACCTGATTGCCATGACTATTGTGGAGAGTCGCTTGGCAACTACATCATACAATTCCCTCAGGACTCTGGGATACATCTCATCAGGTCCCATAGACTTAGGTATGTTCAGGTTCCTCAGGTGGTCATGAACCTGATCTTCTCTTACATTGGGAAGGACTTTGCTCCCCGAGTCCCTGCCTGCAGTCCATCCACTCACAAGGTGTGAGAAGAGAGATTGCCAGTGAAGAGGCAAAAAAATTGTTGAGTAGCTCAGTCTTCTCCTCGTCTCTTGTTACTCGTTTGCCAGTTGTGTTTGTCAGGGAGGTACACATTCTTTGACCTTCCTTTTCTGGCTGATGTAGTTATAGATGCCCTTCTTACTATTCTTTGCATCCCTTCCCAAGTTCAGCTCCAGGTGTGCCTTGACCTTTCTGACCTTATCCGTACACAACTGGGCAACGTCTCTATACTCTCCCTAGGATACCTGTCCGTGCTTCCGCTGTCAAGTTCTGCTTTCATTAACTTGGTAAGAACGGTGTTTGGTTTCACTTTTGCAAATGGATCTACTGCTGCGATGCTTCAGTGGAACAGACTGCTATGCAAGATCTGTGTGTAGTGTGCAAAGCTATGAGGCTTGGTGTAACCTCTACCAGCAACAGTACTGTTCATCCTAAGTGTGTACAGGCGATGCAGAATGCATACTTAACTATGCTTCATTTGCTGCTGCACAATTTTTTTGGTATTAAGAGGTGTTTGTTGTAACTTCAAGTGATTCAGGATATGTAGTAGTGTATATTATGAGTACTGTGTCTGGAGGTGAGAGGAAGCGTAAATAGTTTACTTTGAATGAGGTACAAATGCTGGTGTGTATGCATATGGAAACAGTTCCAAAAGCATGCAGCTTTGTAATGAATGACTGCTTTAGCAGCTTTTACCAGGATATTTTACAAGTATTGAACGGCTGTGCCCATATAATTTTTTTTCTGGTGGAAGTTTACCTGTAGCATGCTCTGTGGAAGTTAGAATTAAAATAGCACCCACATATCCACTTTTTGAAAGTTTTCTGCTCTTTTAAAAAGTATCCAACTTTGTAATAATTTTTTTATGTTGGGTTCATTGACACCGTACAGTTCACTTCTGTATGTGGCCATGCTTAAAGCAAATAGGCTTAGTATCTTAATAGCTTACAGTTCCTGTAATACCATCTGTGCAAGCAATATGATGTTGACCTGCTAGAAATTGCTGTTCTGGTAAATTCCAGAGTGGGATTGTGCGTTGTATGCTTTATTAAGAAGGCTCTGGCTAGGTACAGGTGCCTTAATTATAGTGCATCACTTCCCTGTATCAAGAGCATTAACGAAAGGTAATGGAAACTGTATTCCGCATGATTAGACATAGTGCTTACATGATGTAAAAAATGAACTTTGTGTAACTTTCAGTAAGGTGCATTTCTGTGACTGTATAAAACCAATTTTTTTTCATTATGCTTCTTTTATTTCTTTTTTGATTATGAATGTCCTTGTTATCAGTCTGTAGAAGCTGCCTAGTGAAATATTTGGAGGAAAACAACACCTGTCCAACCTGTAGAATTGTTATACATCAGAGCCACCCATTACAGTATATTGGGTAAGTATGAAAGCAGAAGCACAACTAGCTTCACTGTACACTGTTTCAGCCTCTTTAATACAGCACAGCGTCTTCCTAAATTTTCTAACTTGCTTATGAGCATGTTAAACATTTAAAAAGAAGTTTGAAGGTGATTGAAGAGATACAGGATCAAACTTTGCTATGAATTTGCAACTCCCTTGACATCTATTAGCTTCGTCCAGACTTAAAAGAAAGCAAAGTATGCACTATACTGTTTAATTTCTGTGTGAGTTTTAATGGGATTTAGTCATCCCTCATTTTATATGCTTGGGTCATAAAAGTTACATAAATGAAACATTTGTAGAAACTATACTTTTACAAAATCCTCAAAATAATTAGTCTCAATTGAACAGTGCTTTTCAATGTCTGACAGAGTAATGAGAGAAATAATTGTCAGCTTCATTGTTCAGTTTATCTTTCAAAGGTCTGTTTAGTTCATAGGAAGAGAGAAGAATATGGCAGCAAAAGTATTAGACCAGTGGCTTTAATCTCTGGAATGGGACAATCTTGCCCTTTGTTGTATTTTGATCCCTACACAGAGCACTCTCACTTTCTGACCTAACACGAATGTGCTATTGTTCATCAGTTTCCTCTTTTTTACTAATTCTTTTATTTTATTTTCACAAAAGACATTCCCTTTCTTTTCCTTCAGTGCTGTCCTTTCATTTTACCAAACTGTAGTAACTTTTGCTGGTGAAAATCCATTGTGACAGTGTTTGCATTAGCTGTTGCATATCAAGTAGTCTTTTGCCTACCTTTTTATAAAGACTTTGCTTTTGTTTGAGGCTGTTTTCAACGTGCCTTTCTCAGTTCTGTAACAACTTCTGAAGCAATGAGTCCGATTTCTCTTCACTTCTACAGAAGACTGTCGATGTTCTATACACACATACATTGCTCAAGCTGATACCGATTCAGGAGCCTGAAACTAGTTATGCCATCTCTGCATTTGAAGAATAATAGTGTACACGGATAATGTGTTATGTGATACAATGTTAATACCCTGTATGAGTTTGTGCTTTGAAGGGACAAGTGGATGCCAATAGGCAAGAACAAATAAATGATGCTTAAGACAGTATGTTTGTCTTCTGTAAAGCTACATGAGTACTACATTAGTACCTTGGTTCAGAAGCTTGTTTTCTGTGCCAGAAGGGGCCGGGAAACAGCATCAAATTGAGAACAGCTAAAAGGAATTTGCTATTTGGTTTTGGGCACTGAATACACTTCAAAGGTATTTTGCCTGAACTAGTTATAAAATACTGCCCCTTCAAGACTGAAACAGCCTTTGCCCAGCTACTTTTGGATATATATGTATATATATATTTTTTTTTTAAAATAAAGAATTGGCTGTCAGGAGTTTCACAATACATCTTAAAATGTAGATTTGCATCCTATTCATCTTGCTCTGTCTGCAAAACAGGTAAACCAAATGTGTCTCCTATTTCACATTTCTGAATGCTGTTAAATTCTCTCCTCCGATCTAATAGTAATGGCTGATTTACTGGTTTACGTTGAAATATTTTTTGGAGATGTTGATGTTCCTGCAATCCATATGTGACACTTGAAAATCCCATCCTGAGCAAATGGGATTGCTACTGGTTGAAATGACATGAATTTAGAATTAATGATATTTTGATTATTCTTGTAGTGCTACTTAAAAGATTCTAATGGTCAATTGTACAATCTCTTGATTTGCCACCATTTCTGTACTTGTTCACTGGTCTCCACTGCTGTGAAGTGCTCATGTCAGGTGATGAGAAGCCTGAGACTACTCTTGTAAGCTTTTTCTCCTATTTAAGTCAGATTCAGGATTTTTTTATTGCAAGCTCTATTGAGGTAATGACTTTGCAACAGCCAAGACAGACAATTGAAATGTTTCTGATTTTATCAGTTGGAATTTAGAGTAATATTTCTTTTCTTTCAGACAGTGATTTATTTTAAACTAAACCAGAATTTTGTCTAGGCCAGCTGGGAATTAAAATTTAGAATCTTAAATGGTCCTGCTGCTCCAGTACCAGTGGGATGATTACCTTTCTTTTATTTGAGCCACACTACCTGTACAGGCTTCTGAGCTACATAATGTTGCTCGCAGTCAGAATGTTGGCTTTTATTGTTGTGGTCTTTTTTTGTGAACTGTTTTCTTGTGTTTTTGAAGAAGCCTAATAAAGATAACTAAGTAACAGAAACAGACTATCCTTGATTGTTTTGCAATAAAAATGAGTTTACCTCAAAATTGTCAAAGAATTTTGAGATTATTAATGTGTCCTGGTTTTGGCTGGGATACAGTTAATTTTCTGCTTAGTAGCTAATACAGTGTGTTTTGCATTTAGTGTGAGAATAATGTTGATAACACACTGATGTTTTAGTTGTTGCTGAGTAGTGCTTACTGAAAGTTAAGGATTTTCCAGTTTCCTATGCTCTGCCAGCAAGCAGGTGTACAAGAAGCTGGGAGGGAGCACAGCCAGGACAGCGGACCCAAAGCGGTGGGGGACCACAGCCGGGACGGCGGACCCAAACTAGCCAAGGGGATGTTCCATACCATAGAATATCACGTCATACTCAGTATATTGACTGGGGGCAGTTGGCCAAGAGGGGCCAATCACTGCTCAAGGATCCCTGCTTGGCCATTGGTCAGCAGGTGGTGAGCAATTGCATTTTGCATCACTTGTCTTTTCTTGGGTTTTATTCTTTTGTTTGTTATAGTCCTTTTCATTACTATTATTATTATTTATTGTTGTTGTTAGTATTGTATTTTATTTTACTTTAGCTATTAAATTGTTCTTACCTCAACCCACGAGTTTTAACTTTTTTTTCGATTCTCCTTCCCCATCCCACTGGGAGCCGGGGAAGAGTGATTGAGCGACTGCGTGATGCTTAGTTGCTGGCTGGGGTTAAACCACGACGTGGTGACATTCTTGGCTTCATGCAGGAGGCTGTGTTCCACGGGGCATCATCCTCCACATGTCCAAGACTATTCTTCCTCAAATTTCCATTGGGTTTCTGTCTTAGCTTGTTTCATCTTACTGTCCTCTCTTGTTTGATATACATACTGATTTGAGAATTGAAATTCTTCTTAGGTGAATTTAGAGATTTTTACATCGATTTAGTATGGGAACTTTTTAAAGATAAATGTTTTGACTCAAGATGGCTGACTTAAACTTTTGATTTTGCTTTTTTTTTGCTAGTCATGACAGAACAATGCAAGATATTGTTTACAAACTTGTGCCAGGCCTCCAAGAAGGTAGGTTGTGGTATGACCCTTTTTAGAGGTCATTTTGCACATACTTCTTTAATACTTCAGAAAAAGAAAGTTTCAGATGATGAAAATGGGAGGGGGGAACTGAAGAAAAATACAATGGAAAACTATGTTCCTTCATTTATGTCATTTATAGTGATTAGTTTAATTTCATACCTGTACTAGCAGCAATTTGGGGTGGCGGTGGTGGGAGGAAAGATGGGATATTTCTTCAAGGAGTATTACGTAAAGCAGAATAGTAGTTCAGCTTTTGATTGTTGGCACAGTGCAACTCTGATTTGTTCTTGTTAAACTCTGTACTTAAACCTGTTGTGCCAGCTTTCTAGAGTTCTGAGAGATAGAATGTAATGCAGAACAGCTTTTAGTTTCAGTGAAGTTTCTGCTACTGTGTGAACCCTTCCTTAGCAGGTAACTTTCATTTGTGTTTTCATAATCCTCTTTGAGACTGCATCTGTTCAACTAAAGAAGTACTTTATAGTAACTGCTTAGTAATTTTTTGTCTTAACATAAGTTGCAATTTTCATTTAAATAGAGTATTTAAAACCATTTAAGCTGCAAAACCAGAACATTCTCAAACATCAGTAAGATTAAATAGATTATTTAAAAAATATTTCTAGCATATTGAAAAATCAGATCTATAAATAAAAATTTAAAAACTATGGTTTGACTGAAATATTGTGGGAGGGATTCAAAATAAGATATAGTGTTTTAAATACTATCTCATTCTAGTAGGAATGCTATAATAGCAGCTATACGGATGATTTTGTAGTACTCTAACTCTGAAAAGTAAGATGAGGCATGACTTGATACCGTAGCAGAAATAGAAGAGTAGTAAATACTGACAGTAACCACTACTTGTTGGCAAGCCTGTTTCACTTAAGAGGGAAGGGATTTGGAATAACTTCTTAAATATTGCATTAGAACTTTATTACAGGGATTAATATTTACAATTTTAAACAGCGGAAATGAAAAAGCAAAGGGAGTTTTATCACAAACTGGGCATGGAAGTTCCAGGGGACGTCAAAGGGGAGACCTGTTCTACAAAACAGCACCTAGATTCCCATCGAAATGGTAAATGGTCCTTTATTTATTCTGTCTTGGGCGGGTAACAGCTAGTAAATTGATGAACAAACCTGTTGGAGGTATGTGCGTGGTTGGTTTATTACGATCACAGTTGTTTTATAACACTGTACAATACAGTGAGTGTAGGATTGTTGCTTTGTCCCTTATTTGTGCACGGAATCTTTCTTTTTAGCTGATCATAGCGTATTACTCTTGGCAAAGGAGATCTTACGTGAAATTACCCAGCTTCTGGGCTGCTAGCAGTTGAACTGTAGGTTGTGCTCCGTGTGTATTCCTGTCTTTCATGTGTGGGGCTGTTGTCAGCTAGCGTTGCCTAAGCACAATTTGGGAAAAGCAAAGTTTATTTTGTATTGCAGTCCTGAACTCTGTCATTTTAATCATATTAGCATTACAAGCTGGTGCTGAGTGTTAACCCATATGTGTGGTTTCTTATCTAAGGTGAAACTAAAACAGATGAAAATTCAAACAAAGAAACTTCAGAGGAAAAACAGGAAGAAGATAATGACTACCACCGAAGTGACGAACAGGTGAGCTCCTACGGCATGTTTTAGTTTTATCTTGTATTTCAGCTTTAGTGCTTTGGTAAGCTAACAGAGAAGAAAAATAACTGTTTCAAGTTACTTTTTCTGTCCTCTGGCACAAACAAGATGCAGTGTTGCACAGTGCTTTTGTATAAGCATGAGTTTAGTCTTTGTGTTTTGTCAGGAATGGAGAATATGTTAAAGACATTTGTGTTAAGATTTGATAGTTCTGACTCTTTGTTTATGAGTTTCCAAAGTATGCATTTGCTTTCTAAACAAATTCAGGTTATCTGACCTCCCTTCTGAAGGAGTGTATCCCAGTGTTATTGTGATACATCGAGCTGAATGCCTATCAATAATTATGAATAAAACCTTTTACATTTTTACAACTTATTATTTATTTTGTTTTGAACCTCTAATACTAAAACAGTGTTAGCTCTGTGCCTTAAAAATAATAGAAAGCCAGGAAGTTCACCATGAAGTTTTAAACACAAAGCTTGTTTGACAGTGAAATCTCCTTTTAGGATAAATAAGCCATCCCTTTTATGTTTTCCTGTTATGTGTGTCCAGAGTAAATTAAACTTGGATTAATTTTATTTTCAATTATAATGTAAGGGAACTTTCAAAGGGATTGTACCTGATACTAGATCCTCTTAGTGCATAAAGTAAATCATCACAAAGAGCTTAGTCTAAGTAATGAATAGTTGGATGAGCGAAGCAGTGAGAATTGAAGCATAGAAATTAGAGAGACCTTTTGGGGGATAATCTTTAGAATTTTAAAAATTTGTTATGTCATTTGTATCCATTCTTTTTAAAATTTACATTCTCTTTTAAACAATGTGTCAAAATTCTGTTTTACACTGGATTTAGCAGTTGCATTAAAAGCAAGAAGTTAGATTAGAAGCAATCATTAAAAATTGGCAAAGGTGTTCTTACTGTTTATCTTGCTCTAGCTTTTGACATAAATTCCTCTTGAGCTGTTGACAGCCTGTGAGTTTGGACTGGAGCAGCCTTGTTCCAACATCAGAAATTCTTTCTTGGACTTTTTTGTTTAGATCCATTTTGGTTGCAGAAGTGTTTATCACTAAACTGACAAGATGTTTTAATAGGACTACAGGCATTTCAGTTTAAGGAATACTGGCACTCTACTTTTTCACTTTGTTGTACTAATAAAAACTACATATGGAATACATAATGAGGACTGCAGCAAATTGTTCCAGCCAACCCTGACTGTTTGCCTTTACCTAAAGGTAAGCATCTGCTTGGAATGCAATAGCAGCAAATTGCGTGGATTGAAACGAAAATGGATTCGTTGCTCAGCACAAGCAACAGTCTTGCATCTAAAGAAGTTCATTGCCAAAAAACTTAACCTTTCTTCTTTTAATGAGGTAATATTTTAATTTTTTAAAATGATTTTGCAGATATAAAAACCATACGAAAAGTGTGGGACTGTTCCTTTGCAAATGAATGTGTTTCAGTCTGATTTTGTTTTCAGAAAACAGAAGCGTACACCATTTCTTGATTATATGTTACATAGTCATTTTCTTGCCCTTTTTTGGGCATACACAGGACTTGCCACTTAGTTTGCAGTGCAGCTTTTCATGTCCATATATAAACAGTTGACTTAAAAGGCTTTGTTATGTGCTTCCACATGTGTTGAAATGGACTCTGGCAAGGTGCTTTGTTTGACAACTTGTAGTCAGGTATGCCCCACCCTTTCAGAGATTTCATACTCCGTGCAGGGGACAGGCAGTAACAAACACTTTTAACAGTACTGAAGCCCAGCTTAAGAGAAAGCACCACAAATACTTTGTTCCTTTCTATGCTCTCAGTGAAGCTCAACCTGAAGTTGCTACCTCCCACAACCAGAATGTTATCAGATACCTACTTTTCCCTTCCTTTGCAGGGAATACTTGGAATGATGGGAAGAATTTGTGATGAAAGATACAGAAGAAAGGCAATTCTTTACACTTCTAGTTCAGATTCAAAACTAACAGTGGTGAACATACGAATGCAGCCTCTGTTTATGACTTTGCTGGGTCTCGGTCATAGTCTCTAGACATCTCAATTGACTCTCAGCTTGACATCTCCCAACCACACATTATGTCACTGATTCACTGAATTTCATTAAGACTTTTCATTCAAATAAAATAATCTGCTTTTCAGTCCAATGTGTCAACACCTTTCTGCTCAAACTTTTCAACAGCCAGTTTGCATCTGTATCACTCTTCCTTGCTAGCTTCT